ACCCCCAGCACCCACCGCTGCGCCGGGACCCCCACCCTGCAGGGCACGGGGACAACCCCCACCCGCACCCCTGTATGTCCCCGAAGTGCCAGCGTGCTCGTGGGACACACACGCAGGCAGCCCCCATACCCACATCACCAGAGGTGACAGGGGGACGGTGCCTCTAAGCAGGTACGGGGACATCTCTGCCACCCCCACGATGAGAAAGAGCCGGATGGTGTTTTTCCAGATTTTTATTATAAAAACTTTTTTTTTGTGTGGTTTTTTTTTTTCTTTTTTTGCATTCTCACATCTCTGCTCATTAAAATCTCATTCACCAACGGCCCCAGCCCTGCCCGGCGCCACCCTCTGCCCACCCCAGCCCCTGCAGCAGACCCACCGGAGACCAATATTTACAGATGCTGCCAGGGACTGGGGTGGGCAGAGGGCGGGGGGCCCAGGGGGACACCCTGACCCTGCGCCCACCGGCCAGGGACTGGGGCCAGCATCACATGAGGCTGATTTGAGGGGTGTGGGGGGCTCCCACCTGGTCAGCCACCCTGTGCCCCCCAGCTGCGCACGGCCACCCCACAGCTTGGGGGAGGACGGAGGCAGGGGGTGCCCCACTTGCCCAGGGTGGGTGGCAGGAGGGGTAAGAGGCACAGCCAGGGGGTGGGGGGCACAGGGGACCCATGGCACAGTATTTACAGGGGATGCCCCTGGGCACGCACACTCACACACACACAGACCAAGGACTTGGCACCCACACGACGGGCACCAGGGCACACCGGCTCGTAGGGAGGTGGGGGCAAAGGCTACGGGTGAGAGGAGCTGGCCGGTTCCCTGCCCGGCCGGAGCTGGGCACCCACCTGCCCCAATTTGGCACACACAGCGGTGGCGAAGCGGGCGGGCACGGAGAGGGGGCGCGGGGGCTGCCTTCATCTTAGCCGGAGAGTTCGTAGAGGATTTGAGGGGACGCCAGGGAGAGGTGCCGAGCTGCGCCACGCGCCCAGCGCCAGCTCCGCGCCAGAGGCTGGGCTGGACGGTCGACACCGCAGCCGTGCCCCCCTCCGCACCCGGCGGGTGAGACCGGCACCGGGTGTCCTCCAACACCCGGCCCGGGGACGACGAAAAGGAGCGGGGGAACACGGGAACCCAACCCAATAAATTAGAGGCGGGGTGGGAAGGGGGGGAAAGAGGGCACGCAGGCGCATCGGCACAGGGTCAGAGCCCGTTGGCGGAGCGCTGGATGAACGGCACTTTGCTGAGCTCCACCACGGGCGAGCGGGGCTTGTTCTGCATGCGCGGCACCCGCTGCAGCAGCTGCTGGGCCTGGCGCTGGGCGTCCCGCAGCTCCTTCCGCCACTGCACCAGCTCGGGGTCACTCTGTGCAGGGCAGGGCACGGGTCAGGCTGGGGGTCTCCTGGGGTGCCAGGGCAGGGTACAGGGTGGTCAGGGGCTCCCCGGGGTGCCAGGGGTCTGGGGTTGCCCCACGCTTTCTGTATTTGCGCCCTGTGATGGCTTGGAGGGCTAAACGTGCAGGGCTAGTGGCCAGCAGCTGGCAGGAGGAGGTGGTTAGTGCCCAGCAGGGGATGGCTAGTGATGGCCTGGAGGTGGCTAGCACCCAGCAGAGGGGATGGCTAGCAGCTAACAGGAGGTGGTGAGCGCCCAGCAAGGTCTGGTTAGTGCCCAGCAGGAGCAACTGGCACCCAGGGAAGATGACCAGCTAGCAGGAGGTGGCTAGCACCTGGCAGGGGTGGCTGGTGACCCCAGGGGGGGATGGCTAGCTCCCAGCCGAGGCGGCCAGCCCCAGCGGGCGTTCCGGGGCACACTCACATCGCACTGCAGCACGAACTGCTTGCCACCGCGGATGCGGAGCAGGATGCACTTGCGCTCCTTCACCTGCGTCTCCTCCACCGAGTCGATTTCCTCCATGGTGAGCAGGGACTGCTGGGGGGACAGGCTCAGCCCGGCCCCCACCCCCAGACCTCTGTGTCCTCACCAAAGTCCCCCCAAGCCCCCACCCCGTGCCCCCATACCCCTTGCAGTGCCATGCCTGCTTGTGCACATCCCTCACCCCACGTGCCTGCTGTGCCTGGCGCACTCTGATGTCCGCCAGCACCGAGGTGCGCCTGCTGAGCACCGTGCTCACCCCGCACTGCCTTGTGCCCCCCCAACCTCGCCCTGTGCCCGCCTTACCGGCGACTCGCCCTCCCCACGCCACTCGAGGCGGTTGGGGAAGAGGTAGAAGTAGCGGCGCTGCCACTGCGTCAGGAAGGGGTTGCCCAGCTTGGCCATGTACCCGTGCATGATGCAGTCCTTGCCCATGGCGTACTCTGTGCCCACCGCGCCAGGGAGAGGCAAGGTCAGCCCAGGGCACGGCCACGGGGCCGGGAAGAGCTGGGGGGCTGTCAGGGAGGGACCTGGGGGACACCCGGCCCCACTCACCCTCCTCGTGGCCCAGCTGCTTGTTCTTGGCCTTCTTGCGAGCCTCCAGCTTGTCGGTGTCGGCGTTGACGGCTTCGAAGACGGTCTCCGTCACCTCCTGCTGCCACCGCTCGGAGATGGTGAGCGGGAAGTTGCGGTACAGCTCCTGGTCGCTCTCCAGCAGCTGGTGGGCAGGGAAGCAGGCAGGAATCGCTGGGTCAGGGGCTGCCTGCCACCCCTGCCCTCCCACCGCTCGGCTCCTCCGCCCTGGTACCTTGATGCCCTTCGTGTCCTCCTCATCGAAGGAGCCGATGTCAAAGGCATCAGCCGCATTCACCTCACCGCGGGGTGGGATCAGGGGCGGTGGGTACTGCAGGCGGGAAAGGGGTTTTAGAGGGGTGGCTGCCCGTGCTCCCATACCCCTTCCTGTGCCCGGGTGTCGTGTCCCTCACCTTCTGCAAGAAAACCATCTGCCAGTCCAGGCCCTTGAAGAAGGGCTCCTCTTTCACCTCCTGAGCCCTGGGGAGCGAGGTGGGGTGAGTGCTGCAGGCTCCTGGCTGCAGCCCCGGGGCCGGGGTGCTGCACCAGCACAACCTCCTTCCCTGCCTGCTTTCTGCCCCAGCCCTGGGCACCGTCCCGGCGCCCACCGGGACTCACCCGCGCCCCATGCAGCCCAGCCGCCGGTTGACATCTCGCTGCAGGAGCCCCTCGAGCAGGGAGCGCAGCTCGGGGGAGAAGGAGTCCGGCAGCTCGACGGCCTGCGGGAGAAGGCACGGTCGCTCACATCGTGAGAACACGAGCACCAAGGCACACGTGTGCACAGGGACAGGGATGCGCACAGATATGCACACATGTGCACAGACACACACAGACCCACATGTGTACAGGATACACGTGGGGAGGTGTGCACACACCTACACGTGCACCAGAGTGCACACACCAATGCCTGCGCACATGTGCAGTGTGCATGTGCACACCCAGTCCCGTGCAAGCACATACACACGGATATGTGTGTGCACACACCAGGCACACAAGTGCACAGTGGCTCACACGTATGAACACCACACAGATGTGTGCATGGGCAGCACGCGGACACTGCAAACACCCCCCTGACACATGTGTGTGAACACAAACATGCCCACATGCAGACACCCACTTGCACACACGCACACGTCATTCTGCACACACATATGCACATGCACGTAGAGATGGGCATGAACACACGCTCCAGGCGCTGCTCACCTGCAGGGACCAGTTGTCCCTGACCCCACACACACCCCATGTGCCCCCCCTCATGACCTGTCCATGCCTGCCTCAGCCCTCCCTGGCACATGGAGCAAAAGCCGGGGTGCCCCAACTCACCATAGTGAGGGTCATACGGTCGATCTCGTGCTTGTCTTTGGTCTTGTGCTGCCGAAAGGGGCTGTGCCTGCGGCCACGAGGGGAGAGGGGAACTCAGTGGTGCCCACCCATGCCTGCCTCGAGCCCACCCGTGCCCACACACTCACCCCCGGAGCAGCTTGAAGAGCATGCAGCCCAGTGAGAACCAGTCGGCGCTGCTGTCGTATGCCACCCCTTTCTGCAGCACCTCCGGAGCCATGTACCCATGGGTGCCCCTGCGGGGGCACAGAGCAGGGTCAGAGACCATGCCAGGCAGGTGGGCAGGGCAGGCAGGGGCGCGGGCACACTCACACACTGGCATGGGGCTTCTTTTTGGAGAAGTCGCAGGCCAGGCCCAGGTCTGAGATGCGGACGTGCCCAAACTCATCCAGGAGGATGTTTGCCGGCTGCCGAGACATTGTGTCACCCCTGAGCCCAAGCGCTGCCCATGGGCACTGGGAGGGGGCAGTGAGGCTGGGTGTGCCCACATGGGTCAGGCTGGGGTGCTCGGTGGGATTTGGAGGGGGTCCACAGGACTGAGGTGCCTGTGGGACTGGGAAGCACCAGTGGAGTCTCTGAGTGCCTCCCTGAGGTCTCAGGATGCCCACGAGGTCCCAAGGGTGCCCATGGAGTTTGGGGGGGTTTCCATAGGGTAGGAGTGCCCTCTGAGTTCAGGGAGTGCCCACAGGGTCTGAGGGCTCCTGCAGGGTGTGTGGGTGCCTGTGACATCTGTGGGTACCCACAGAGTCCTGGCAGAGGATTCTACAGGGCCCAGGGATGCCAATGGGGCTTCTAGACACCTGCAGGGTCCGAGGGTGCCCGAGATGTCTGCGGGGTGCCTGTGGAGTCAGTCACCTTGAGGTCACGGTACACCACGAAGCGGCTGTGCATGTGCTCCAGGCCCAGGATTATCTCGGCCGCGTAGAACCTCATCTCTGCCTCTGAGAAGACGCCGTGCTGGGACAGGTGATAATGCAGGTCTCCCCCTGTGACAACAGGGACCTGTCGTCACCCTGGCACTGCCCTCTGTGCCTCAGGGACGGTGCGGGCAAAGGGCTTTGAGTCAGTGGCTCAGGCCCGCTGCAGCCCTGGGGGGCTGGGGATCAGCCACAGGGTCCCTTGGGACTGGGGCCTCTCACCGTTCATGAGGTCGAGGATGAAGCTGAGCTTGTCGGGTGTGTGGAAGGCGTACGACATGCACACGATGAATGGGCAGTCCTAGCAGGAGACACGGGGTCACACAGTGCCAGGAGTGTCCCGTGGACACCCTCCTTCATTGTCCCTCTCCCCTTGCCCGTGTCGCAGCCTGTAACCAGGGTGCCAGCCCTGCCCGGTGCCTGCCTCCCCTCACCCCGGTGCTGACGAGGGACAGCATGATGCGCTCGTTGAGGGCCAGGGTCTCGCCCTGCTTCATCTTGATGCGTTTCTTGTCCAAACACTTCATGGCATACCTGGGGGCAAAGAGTCCCTGAAGGGTCCTGCTGCTGCTCGTGGCCTCAGTGTCGCAGCCCGCCACTGCCCATGGCCACAGTGCCACGTCCCTCCAGTGCTACCGCCACATCACCACGGCCCTGCCCTGCCCACGGCCCCGGCAACTGCAGCCACGCCATCGCGTCCCTCCGCCGCTAGCACCTACGGCCACATCACCGCATCCAGCTACCACCCACAGCCATGACGTCCTTGTATCCCCCCTGAGACCCGTAGCCATGGCAATACTTCTGCAACCCCCTAACATCTGTTGTCACGGCAACACCGCTGCAGATGCCCTTGGGACCACCACGACAGCCCCAGTGCCCCCCCCTGTTGCAGGCAGATCTCTCTGGCCCCCCCTGCGATGGAGTATCCCCTATTACATTTTGCCCGTATCTGCTTTCCGGCAGCCGTAGACCTCCCCGAAACCACCACGGCCGATGATTCGGTGAACGCTGAAGTCGTTCATGGTGAGCTGGAGGGGGCGAGAAGGAGGTGGGGGTGAGCCTAGACGACACCTGGGTCCTGCAGCATCTGCCCTGCACCAAGAGCTACGCGTGTTCTTCATGGTGGGGGGTCCCACACCCTGCCTCGGTTTCCCTGGGTGAGGAACATAGAGGCTGCTCCACATGTCCCCTTGAGTGCGGGCAGGTGTGGGAGAGCCACCTGTGAGCGAGTGAAAGCCTGGGGGGTGTGCGAGGGTGCCTCTGTGGGGTGCTCGTCCGAGGGTACCCGTGCCAGCCCTAGTGAGCCCCTGGGCAGCGGCCTTGTCACCATGCCCACGTCCCCCTCCCTGGAAGTGCCCAGAGGTGCCCGGGTTGCCCCGAGGCGCAGGGGTCCCTGCTCACATGGATGTTCAGCTCCACGTTCTTCCACTGGCAGAACCGCGTGAACTTGTCGCTGCAATGAAGCACAGAGAGGGCAAGAGTGGAGCCCCTGGAGAAACCCCCGCAAGACCCATCTCAGGGGCAGAAGGACCCCTTGGACTTGTCTGGAGAGAGGAAGCACCCCCTGCGACCCCTGTCTGGGAACAGAGAGACCCTGGGCCAGACCTGGGGATGAGAAGAGTCCCCTGAGTCCCTGGTCTGGGGACAGACACCCCCGGAGCTCCTACCTAAGAAGGGACCCCTGGCCCCTCTCTGGGCCGGGAGACCCTGGTCCCCAGTGGGATGGGACACCCTGATCCGCGTGGGACTTTCCCCCATCTCACCTCTCAATGAATTTCTGGAAGATGCCCCCACGCAGGTTCTGGCAGATCTCCTCAATGTAGGGCTGGGGGAACACAAGGCTCAGCGCTGGGTCCCCAGTGCCACCCAGGTCACCCGTAGCCCTCAGGTCCTATCATTACATGGGTCTCCTCCACCCCTGGGATTTCACATATCCCCACTGCCACCCTGCCACTGCCAGGCCTTCCGCCACCCAGGTTCACCTGAGTCTCTGGGGACCCCGCTGTCACCCCAGGTCACCTCTACATCCACGCTCCCAGTCACCACCCTCTGAGGAGCCCCCAGTCTCCTAACTACCACCTCATGGGGACCACCAGCAATCCTCCTCACTCCCAACCTGCTGGGGACCCCTGCACCATCCCTTGGGGTCCCCATACCTTCTGGGACCCACCACCACCTTTAGGGGCCCCTGTCACCACCAGCCCCCAGCCCCCTCTCACCAGCCCCCGTAAGGATTAACCCTCCGAGTACCAGAGGTGGCAGGGACCCCCTCTCTGTCCCGGGTGATGCCCACCTGGAAGAGGTCTGGGGGCACCTGCTTCTTGCTCAGGCGGCTCTGGACATGCTCCGTGGCACTCTTGGAGAAGGGCTGCGAGGCAAGACGGGACTGTGTCACCCTGGGCAGAAGGGACAGGGGCACAGGGGCAAGGCAGTCCCACAGGGGGCAGGCAGGTCTGCACAAGTGGGGGAATTATGGAGGACCCCTCATCCATAGGGCTGGGTCTGTGGCTCCCAGAACAGAGTCAATGGTGCTTTTAGAGCTCCCTCTGAAGACACTGGGTACCAGGCCTCCTGGGCACACTGGGGACCCCACCCCGGTACCTCACCCCACTGTAGTGCCGGCGCAGTGCCTGCACAGCATGGCACTCACGTGGGAGCAGGCCAGCAACTCCTTCATGATGTAATGGTCAAAGATGTGGCGGCTCCGGGCAGCTCGCTCCTCCTCCGAGTCCAGCTTCTCATACTTCTTGATCTGGCAAAGGCACAGCTCCCGTGGCAGAGGGGCACACCGCCCCCAGGCCTGTGCTACCGGGGAACAGCCCTCACCCAACACCAGGACCGGGTACGCCAGGAACCATGGCCCTAGCCCCTCTGGGTACCACCTCCCACAGGCACCTGATGGTTATCACGTCCCCTGGGTACCCAGGGCATCACCTCCCGGCCCCCTGGGCGCTGTCTCCCTTGGGTACTCCGCATGCTCTTGGTACCATGTCTGTGGGCCCTGTAGGTACCAAATCCTGTCCCCAACCCTCCTCATGAACATGGGGGTCCGTCCAGATGGGTCCCCCCATCTCACCTCCTCATAAAACTCCATCAGGGGTTTGGCCTCCTCTGCCTGGTTAAAAGCGAAGTCCCGGAAAAGCAAGTACCCTGGCAGGGACAGAGCCACGGCATGAGAGGTGCCTGCCTCAGAGCGGGAGTGTGTGCCCCATAGCCCAGGCCAAGGGGCACAGGGATGTCCCCTGGGCCTGTCTGTCCCCACAGCCACCCCCATGCCAGGCTCGGGGAAGTGGAAGTGCCAAGGTGGGGACCGGCCAGGGTTTGGCAGTTAGGCAAGGACACCGGCTGGCACGGGGAGGAGCAGTGTGGTGCTATAGGGCACTGTGGGGCAGGGGTGCAGTGGGGTAGCGAGGAGGTTGGTGCAGTTGGGGACCAGCGGGGCAGGGGCACAGGCGGCACTGTGGAGCAGGCTGCTGTGGGGCGGACGTGCCCGGAAACCGCCAGAGCCAGCAGGAGGAAGTGAGAGGCGCTTCCTGCCCCGGACGGTTAGTGCCGTGCTGGGGGAAGTGACGGGGTGGGGGATGTGGGGTGGGGGACGTGGCGGCAGGGGGTTGTGTCACGCAGTCCCCAGGCACCTCGGCCCAGCCTGACTCCGCAACCCCCTCGCTTCCCCCAGGCCATGCCAGGGGCAAAGGGGAATGGCCACAGCCACTACCACTGTCACAGCTGCCACCAGTCCGGCCCCCCAGCCCACCCGTGCTTGCCCAGGCACACAACGAGCGTCCCTGTGTTTGTTGGCGCTCATCCACATGCCCTCCCCTGTGCCCCCCATGGTCTCCAGGGCACCCGTGTCCCCAGCTCACCAATCTTCTGCATGAAGATCTTGTCGAACGTCACCTCTCCCCGGTCCTCCAGGTACTTCTGCATGACGCTGCGGATGCTGGGGAGACAGTGGAGGGGCTCAGCGCCTCGCCTGCCCCGTGCCCCCTGGCAGCCCTCTGCTCCTGACCCCCCCCTGCCTGCCCTGTACCCACCATGCCCCTTCTCTCCTGCTCCTCCTGTGTCTCCATGCCACCTCAAGCTCCACTGGCACACACGTCCGCCCATCTTGTGTGTCGCCTGCCCCCAAGTGTGACATGTTGCTGGGCCCCAGTAAGGGTCAGGCACAGGGCGCCCCACGTGCCGGGGTCTAAGGAGGTTGGGGAGGTGAGTACCCCAAAAAAGTCTCCCTGGTGCCTGGCAGCGAAGGCGCAGGAAGGCAGTGGGGTCTGGCATTGGGGGTTGGGACCAGGGCCACATGCCTGGGTCCCCTCCTGCTCCCTGGGGAAGAGCGGGGCAGTGTGTGCCCACATGTGCAGGGCTGCGCGCGTACCAGGAGCGCGGGCCCCAGGCGGTGTGTGCCGGGCTGCGCTGCGGGTGTCGTGTCAGGCTGCCACGCAGGGTGCCTGTGCGCTGTGCCGTCCACCGCCCGCACCCCGCGCACGGCGTGCTGTGCTGCCACGTGCCACGCCGCGTTCCGTGCGGCGTGTGTTGTGCCGCGTTGGCTGTTACACTGTGCTGTGTGGGTCCGGCGGCGGTGGCATGTGCGCTGGGCTGCGTGTGGGGCCGGCGCAGGCTGGGTGTGCAAAGGGAAGTTGTGAAGTGGGTTGCGTGGGCAGGAGGGGGCTGCGTGCACAAAAGTGACACAGGCGCGGGGGCGGCATGCGCAGCGGGGAGCACCACAACTCCGCGTGTGCGTGTGTATACACAGGGCGGGCAGAGATCCTGCGTGTGCCGATGTACACTGTGCGTGCATGTGCAAAGGACACAGGTGTGCGCACACAGCCCCCCCACCTTGCAGCACTCTGCACGTGTGTACACACACAAGTGCATGGCTGCAGGAGGGCACGGGCGCAGATGCGGGTGTGCCTGGCCGGAGCGGTGCGTGCCAGGACGGAGCGTGGGTGTACGCAGGGGGCACGCACGGACTGTGTGTCGGGAAGAGCATCCGTCCGTGTCTGGGCAGGATGCGTGTGCACGCCCAGGCAAGTGTGTGCGGGCTGGGTGCCTGTGTACACAGGCATGCAGGGGTGTACGCTGGGGATGTTTGTGCACGGGAGGTGTTTGCTTGTGCATGGGAGGTGTTCGTGCACAGGAGATGGTTGTGCGCCCGGGATGTTTGTGCACGGGAG